AATGTTACAGCGCGACTTCAAATGGTTGTGAAGTGATTGCAGAGTAAATATATGTATAGTTGGCGCCCTCTTCTGATCTGAACATACATTCACTCCTTGGTAGATTGGGGTTCTTTTACAACCAACCAAGTGTAGAACCAATTACCAAAAATTACCTCTACAAATTAGACTGAGCATATTGACCATATTGGCATTTATTAATAGCATCTTAGCTTCACCAATATTAACACCAAATTTTGTGTTTTTAACCACTTTTTCCTTGAATTAAGGGTTGACATGTTTATTAATTCATAATTTAATTAAATAAAGAGCTATAAAATGCACATCCACATGTGTTACATGTGTTCATACAGAGAGGTGAGCACAGAGTGGATGGAGAAGGAGGTGAAGGAAGACAACAGATAATCATGGGCAGTGAGTGAATGAGAGCAAAGATAGCAGTTTATTTTTAAAACCATCTGCTTTGTGTTGAGGGAGACGTTCTTCTACAGGATAAGAACTATACATGTCCACAGAGATAATGAACCACAGTCTGCTTTGATAAAGAAGTGTACAAAGTGAAAGCGTAAGATGTAAGAAGTCCAAAACCTTCATTTTCAAACTGCTATTTTGATCACATTTGCATAAAACCCCAAAATAGCATCAAGAAAGCCTCTTTGTGAATGTCAGAGAAGACAAAACTGAGTAACTGGAAACATTAGGGGTCTATGATCATTTATGATATATATACAGGTGCATCTCAATAAATTAGAATGTCGTGGAAAAGTTCATTTATTTCAGTAATTCAACTCAAATTGTGAAACTCGTGTATTAAATAAATTCAATGCACACAGACTGAAGTAGTTCCAGCCAGTCATACTGGGTCTATACCTCACTCTGCTACATATATATATATATATATATAGTAACATTTTAGTACCTAATGTGTACATGTTACTGAAAGTGTACCACCCCAATGACAGCTTTTGTACATTTTATCTTAGAGTGTATGAGTGTATGCAAATAAGGTCCAAAAAGATTAAGCCAGTTCATATTCAAATAAAAGATTAAAGGCTATTTCTGTCATAAACGTTTGTCTGTACAGTATGTTGGATGTGCGTCAATACTGTTTATTCCTATGTGTGTGTGTGTAATGTTGTGTATTGGTTACCAGCACTAACAGCTGCTCAGTGGGTCTGTCTGAGCCAGTGTTACCAGTGTTACACTATTTCTGGAGCGTGTGTTGTTTAAAAGGTCAGACAGAGACAGAAGGGGGTGGAGGGGGGTAGGGAAAAAAGGAAGAAGAGAGCGAGAGAGACCAAGGAAATCAGAAGAAAGACAGAGGTGAAGAAGGAAGAAGACAGTATTGTCTGTCTGTCAGTTCAGTGATTACTTTAGTTAGAGTGGAGATTCATTCCGTTTTTGAACAGACGACTCTGGACACATGGAGGATTCAGAGAATATCGCTGTGACCAATGAAACAAAGGTAATGAGTGACCAGGTAATTGTTGCAGTGAATTATCATGTGATTCTCTCTATTTCAGTTCCTATATTTCTCTCACTATCTCACATTAACCCTCGTGTTCTGTCTGAGAGACCCCAAGGCCTTTTTAACATCTCAAAAACATGATGCATCAGGTTGACATGATGTTTGCAAATGTTTTGAATTTTTAAGATAGATAACCATTTATTGACAATAAACATCACACAAATAATATGATAAATGTTGTTACTTTTATGTGGGGACTTACAAAGACCCGCCATATAAAATGTGAGTAAATGCAATGATTTTTCATGCGCAAAGATGTGACTGGTATATACACTGTAGAGATACACTCCGGTTGTTTGTTTGGTTGATTTTCATTTGTTTAAAATGTGTTACGCTGGGGTGAAACTGACCATCAACATAATAAAAATCACTAGTAATTAACCATATATTCACACCAGTCAGATTTCTGGAATATCCTTCCTTACAAATACAAAAAAAATAAAAAAAATTAAATAAAAAAACTGCTGATAAGCAGTCCACAGAATATGAGGCAGATGCTTTCCCACCATAATTATATTGAAATGCATGCATTATGTTTGGTGTCACTTGTTCTCTCTCTCTCTCTCTCTCTCTCTCTCTCTCTCTCTCTCTCTCTCACACACACACACACACACACACACACAAAGACAGACACACATGCAGGCAAGCTGTCTTGCATTCTGAAGTTGCATTCCAAGTCGAAAACTTATAATAATGACAATATTATGTAATTATTATCAGGAGTGCTATAAGATTGATAATTTTGCTGGTTTAATTTACATGTGGTAATTCGATATGAGAACACATTTGCTCATGCTCACCCTCCCACCTGCTCATTTAGTGGAATGCTACAGCTCTTTTAACAACTGGTGAGTCATGACCTCATGTGACACCTGGGACAGCTCCTCTAAACACACACACACACACACTTATGTTACCTTATATCAAACCGAGAACATTACACATAAACCCTTTGGCAGGGACGAGATGTAGTGCGTCACAAGGGGTAAAAAAAGAATATCTACGATTTGACTGATTGATAGATAAGACAGTATATACTTCCTGATATAACAGATCTTCAGAAGAGGATGGAAAAAATAAATAATATACCAATTTAATTACAGGCTACTAATTTAGAATCTTTCTGTTTATGCTTTTGTAGCATTGTTAGCTACATAAACAGTAGCCTGCGATTACTATCAGTTAGCAATACGCTGGTTAATTGACTAACTGCATTCTAAACTAGAGGCTAACTAGTTAATACTATAGTTCTGTTCCAAATTACGCAACTATACCTGGTCCCACTTTAGGCCACAAGTGGCCTTAACTACTCTGTACTTACATTTAAATTAATCATTTGGTACAATGTACTTATTGTGTACATACATGTTTTACATTGTATTATATCTTTAAAATACCTGCATATAATTACATCTGTAATTAATTTCTGTAATTACATTTATAATTACACTGTTGACCCATCCCTTACACCTACCCATACCACCAAACCTGTCCCTAACCTTACCCGTATCCCACCTCAATATAGCAGCAAAAGTGTTTTGCAATACAATATAAACACAATAAGTACACTGTACTTATCTTTTATGTAAGTACATAGTAGTTAAGGCCACCTAATATATAGTGGGGCCCTATACCTTATAAACTACAATATGATCCATCTAGTATATCAATTTTACAAGGTTATTTTGTCATCCAGTATCGGCATCTGATAGCCCCTCTCACTTCACGTAAATAAAGCTGCAACATGCAAGTGCATGGAGTGTCCGACATTCCAGACTTTGTTAATTAAGTGCCTCATCTGGGTCCCTGAAGTGTACTTTTCTTTTTGGAATTTTCAGTGTGAACACACTACTACAAACAGTGCTTTATGTTTATAACCACTTACAAACCACTTACAAACTAATAAAAACAGAATAATGTTTAATTAAACTTTTGTCATATTTAATATATATATAAAACTGGCTGGTGCACACACTGTAGAGATACACTGTGATTTGTAATTTTGTACTTTGGTGTCATTTTTTGTTTGGACTGGGCCCTTCACAGGATGCCAAACATGTGAAGTCCCCAGAGACAAAATGTGTTGCAGAGTCAGAGCCAGGAGGTGGGACTGACACTACAGAGGGTGGAGCTAATGAGAAAAACAAAGAAAACCATGAGAACACAAAAGCTGAAGCCAGTGACAGTGAGGCATGTGAGCAAGAGGACGGAGTCACAGAGAATGCCAACATCGTGGAAGAGAAAGAAGAACAAGAGAAGGATATCAAAGAACATAAACCTGGAGAACAAGAAAAAGAGACAGGGATAAATGAAAACAAAGAAAGTGAGGTAGAACAAGAAAAGAAGAGTAACAACGACCCTCACAGGAAAGAGAATGATTCCTGCAACAAAGAGGGACAACTTGAGGTAAAGCACAAAGAAGAGGACAAGAGAACAAAAGAAACTGAAGGCAAAACTAAAAATAAAGAAGATGAAAGAAAAACAAAAGAGAAAAAAGAGACTAAAGATATCAAGAACAAACCAGAAAATCTGGGAAGAAAAAGTGGAAAAGCTCCATCCTCTGCTCTCAGAGCCCCCACCAAGTCATCTGCTCGACCCTCGGCCAGAAGAGATGCCATGGCCAAGTTTCAGAAGGACCAGTAAGTCATCTCACTAACACGATATCTTTCTTTATTATTATCATCAACCTCATAATCATATGGATCACTGTCACAATACCATATGCTTTGAAGTTTTGATCACCCACACATTTGTTATATTCTCTATTTAATGTAAAAAAAAAAAACTGACATCTTCAGCAATGAATTCTGCTTATTAAATAGGTCAATTTGTTCAGTAGTATCTCTCTGCCGTTGCTGTTGGATTTGTAGTCTGCTGTGTCTTTAGTGTGAATAGCATATGTTGGTTTGTTGTAGGACTCCAGGAGTCAGAAACTTTCAAGTCCAACGGACATCTATAGGTATGACTGGTGGAGCATCAATTAAACAGAAAATTCTGCAGTGGTGCAGGAACAAAACACAGAAGTATGAGGTAAACTAAAGTTAAAACTTCCTAAGAAACACAAATTTTGTAAACACTCACTCTTAAAAACAGGTTATAATCAGAATGTTACATGAACTAAGTACTCAAGATCCCTATATACCTTAGTAAGGGTGGATGCCATATTGAATTTCACACAGGTATTTTTAAGTATTTTTGAGAGTATGTGCTCACCAACAAAACTACATTTGTTAGTATGAGCAAAACACATTCTAGTATGTGTATGTGGCTAGTATGACCTATAGTGGAAGTTTTCCTGTGAGATCTAGTTATTTTTGTAATATTTTGTATCTCAAAGGGTGTCAACATAGAAAACTTCTCTTCTTCCTGGAGTGATGGCCTGGCTTTCTGTGCACTCGTTCATCGCTTCTTTCCCTCTGCTTTTGACTTCTCCTCCCTCAAAGCAAGTGAACGGGAGAAGAATTTCACTCTGGCCTTCAGTACAGCAGAGTATGTTGACATTTGAATGTGTGTGTAAATATGTAAATATGTGAGCAGTATTACATTACGGCAAAAAGATGTGGTGTGTGAAGAAGAGTATTTTTGTGCATTTTGGTTTCATACATAGCTGTCAAACATCTGAGAGTCTGCAGTTAATATAAAACAAACTCTTTTTCAATTCCAGATCTCTTGCTGACTGCTGCCCCCTTTTGGAAGTGTCTGACATGTTACTAATGGGCAACAACCCAGATCCTCTGTGTGTTTTTACCTATGTACAGGCTCTCTGTCATCACCTCTCAAAGACAGAGAAAGAGAGGAGGGAAAAAGAGAGCATGGAGAAGGACAAAAACAAAGAAGAAGATCAAGGGGTTTCTGAAGGTAATGAAGATGGAGAGAGGGATGAGATTAAACAAAATGAGGAGACAGAGGAAAATGGATCAGCTTCTGACAGAAAGATAGAACAAGAGACAGATCAGAATGAAAATGTAATAAATGCAGGTGCTTTGAATGAAAAATAGAAAAACGACATAAATCAAAGAAAAAGGAAAGGGGAGAGTCAGAATAATTTTGTTGTCATAATCTGCTTTTTTGAAGGTATGGATAGTGATGTTTGTGTCTAATGTGGATGATGAATGTGTTATTCTTTGTTGAGTTGTTTGGGATTGTATAGGTATTTCATTATACAGATTTTCATTTCCTCAAATGCTTAAAAATGTATAGGCCTGAAAATATAATAAAAGTCACATGTTCAAGTTACATTTTGGTTTGACTACTGACTTCAAATTCACATCTCACATTGTCCTCTGACTCATTAAAAGCTGTAAAATGTTTCATGGCAAAAAAAAACAAACAAAAAAAAATCTCGAAACATTAGCTCTGAGCCTATTCGCTCTAAACACTAGCAAAACGGTGTTAGCAAAGCTCTGTTGTTGAACAAAAATGTAGAAAGTGATGCCAGATGTCTCCAAAGTATTTGCATTATTTATTATTCACGGCATTGTCACATTCTGTGTTACTATCACCTAAATAAACAGTTATTTTGCTTTTTAATCAAATTTTATGTTTAAGGGTGATTCTTCAATTAGGAGAACTTTTGAAATGTAAGTATAAAGATTGAATTCAATTCCCTATTAAAGTGTGGTTCATAATAGATTCCATTTCTTTTTATTTATTTGTTTTAATGCATAAAAGGGTAAATATGCAACAATTTGTGCATTTTAGGTTTGTCCCTCAGCCAGATGTTTTAAGCTTTCTCTCCATACAAATTAATCACGTTTATTTAATAATACAGTTACTATAGTTTATATAATATAGTTTATTATAGTTGAATGAAACAATGCAAATTAATTTTCATGTTGCTCTAAACCTTTTTTTTCAATTATCAAAATGGAAGTTATCTCATTATTTCATTTTTATATATTTAATATTGTCATTACTATCACATGTCAAGATAAGGAGGAGCTTAGATACTTGGGCTATCCGTTTTCAAATACATTTTCAAATAAGATTACCTCATTCTGAATTGGAAATAGAAGGTCCACTCAAGTACTTTGTATTATGGGGTAGGCCTCTTCTATGCAGTGTTCTCCATTATATACACTATGTCCTCTACACATTTTACATTTCTATACACATTTCACAGTTCACGTGCTGCGTACTTCATGCTGCGATAAGTATGGCAGTATCGATCTGAACACAGCCCTAGTGTTGTTTAAATCAGTGGATGTCAACTCTGGTCCTGGGGACCCATTGCTCTGCACATTTTGTATGTCTCTCTTATCTAACATACAGATGGAGCTTCATGGAGCTCTCTCCTAATGTGCTAATGATCTGAATAAGGTGCATTAAATAAGGATGTCATACAAAATGTTCAGAGCAGTGGGTCCATTTTTATTTATTTTTTTACAGCAGTGTTGCATAACTCAACTTATAACAAGCAAAAAGATACCATTTGATATATCAAAGTCAAATGGTTACAAAAACAAAAAGTAAACTGATTCCAAAAGACTGAAAGTGTGTAATTAATCCAATCAACCACAATAACCCTAAAGAACAGAGAACATCGCTCTCTCTCCTGTTTAATTTATTTAGGGCACAGAGTGACTTCCAAAACAGAAGTCACACTGACTGAATTCTGTCAGCAGTTTTTGTTTTGATGGCTTTAGAACATGAAACCCATGAGGGGCATCTGCTCCATGCTGAAGCTATAAATCACCTCACTGTATCTACGCCTTGAAGTTTGTGCTGGTTAAAGCTAGTGAAAGGGAGGTAAAGAAAAAAGAGAGGAAAATGATTATGCAAGGTGCACATGCTATTTCAACACAGATGAATTTAAGGCGGTTGACACAGTGAAGTAAATGGCTCAGTGTCACTGTTTCTGACACCCTCTTCGTCCAAATGTTCCAGTCACTTGGTGCTATATATACACATAGGAATCTTATCCCTACATCGTTTGCACTCTCTCAGAGTATCTCTCTCAGGGTATTCTATTTCCCTGAGTGTGGCTGGTATGAAACTGGTGTGGTGATCTTATGAGGTCCCGACAGACACCAGCTCTGTCAGTGCATGCAAACACCCACAGAGAGAGTTAAGAGTCAGAAAAAGAGAGAAATAAGAGCGCATGAGGAAATCGATGAATCTGTCTTTAGGGTATTAGTTTTGGAGTATTCACTGCAAACTGTGTTTCATCTGTCAAGATCTGAATGAGAAGACCACAGATCGCCTTAAGACGCACAGGATCATGCATTACTCAGGAAATGCTGACATCTGGAGCATCTACCTTTGTTGGATGCTCCATAGTATTTAATCATTGTTCGTTTTGATTTCCTGGGTGGATCAACCATCAATATATAACCATCAACCATGGATTCCACTGATTCAGAGTCTTTCAATTACATGGATTCAGACAGCCTCGCTTCGCCCATTCCACCATCATCGACATCCCGCAAGACCACCCATTACCGTGACCATGGTGGCCTCACTTATGGTGTGGGAGTTGTGTGGACACATCTTCGTCCCTTCATTCCCTTCTTCCTGGTCTCCAGCCTAGTAGTGGCACTGGTCTACCTGCTGCAAACCATTGTGTATGGAGGGCCCTTCACCGACCCACTGTTCTTCAGCAAATTTGAGAAACGCTGGCCCCCACCCCGCCAGCAGCCAACAGCCACAGAGTCAGCACATGGATTATCTGGTATCCTTTAATGCAGAGAACCCTGTAATGAGGGTCGACTGTATGCTGGAGGCCCACCAATAAAAATGTTATTCTGGACCCCATGAATCAAAGTGACTGAGGATATGAATAAAGATTAATCAGATTAAAGTTGTGAAAGAGTAAATCAGGATTTTGTTGTCCCTTACTTTGGAATCCTGGGGGGAAAATATATGCAAAGGATCAAGAAGCTCCATAGAAGACAATGTGATACGGTTTTGATAAATAGCCAAGAACTGATGATGTCATCTCTATGATACTGGATTCAGATTTTTAACGTTTCATTTCAACTTTTGATTGAAAGTCACCTCAGCTACTTTAAATATTCACCTTTCATATTTTGATGTTTTCTTGTTACTTTGTTATTTCAGATGGCTTTTCTAACTTACTATCTCAAAAGAAAGTGAGTTAAAAAACAATTTCTAAAAAGCACTGGCCTATTTAATATATGCTCTGTGTGCATGATAATGATATGTGGTGCTAAATACGTATTTGGCAGGCATGGTTTATGTTCTAGTCATATCAATAGTTTGATGTTGAAGATCCAGTTAACCAACCTACTGACATTATGAAGTCTACATAATGTGAGATGTGATTATATGTTCAGATTTAACCTTCACTGCCAGTTGCAGCCGGAATGGAATGTAATTTCTATACAAATTTCAAATTAGTAAGATCATAATTAGAGATACAAGACTCTAAGCAATTAAAGTACACTTAAGTAAATTTATTTCAAGTAAAAATAAATTCAAAATCTATTTTACAGCGTATTTGTGAACCACTGGTAACTGATAAAATTGTAAGCCAAAAGTTGTGCTTTGTTATATACTTGTATGTATCTTATTTTATGTTCCTGTATGTGATTTTAATAATGGGGCTTCAACCGTCCTCTAGGTGTCACTTTTCTCTTACTGTGAAACAGGTGAATTCTAGTAAATTGGGAAACTTTTTGCATTTGAGATGACTGGGAAAAATGTCGAAATTAACTTGAATTCACGTCTATTGTTTTTAAGTTTCTTATACAATCTAATCTGAATTGTATGTTTTTTTATTAGATGGACCTGCGTTTAGCTGTCACAGACTGTAATTGTCTAAACTGAATTAAAATGGAATGTACTGAATTATACATTCTTTACGAGCTACTTTTTACAGGCTTAATTGTTATAGGCTAAATTTACATTATTTATATGTTCATAGTCTGTTAAAAGAGTTCAATATGTCTCGATATTCCTGACTGGCACATGGCACCATAATTACGCACATTCTTTTAGGCTTATAGAGAGATTTTGGTTAAAATCCAAAATGTTGCAAAAATCCAAAAAATCCAATACCAGATACAGCCAAACAGTAGCAAAAGACTTAACTAAATTAACGGATAAATTAACCGACAATATGATCAGGAATTTTAGCTATGACCTGGAAGGGCTTAATTTTGCGATAATGACCGACGACTGTACATTTTCATGCAAACTACACATGTGTTTGACTGAGGACTTATCCTTCTATTGTTTTCATAGCAGGATAATTTGCCTACCATATCTCTTACTCGTAAAACCGTCAAACAAACATGTGCACATCGATAGATGCATAATTTTACTTTTGCGGATGACAAGTTAGTAAGGACATTTTTGAATAGTGAGGACATTTTGGCCCATGTTTAATTTTTTTTTTCTGTTCCAGTTTTACATAAGCATTCATCGACTACATCAACACACATTTACTTAGCTGTCTAAGGGGACATAGACTTCTATTGTTTTATAACTAGTTCTAATATAACATAATAAATTACTTAACAATTTAAAGTTTGTTTAGACACAGCTATGTGTCTGCACAAAAATAAAAGGACAATGTAAAATGTATTTGTAAAATAATTTTTATTTCATAAATCAGTAGTATTATAGTAAGCTATTGGGTGTTAAATTTGTATTATACATTACATGAGTAATTGTGTGTGGCTTATTTCATACTCTTCATAATGATTCCGTGCATTACTTTATAATGAATACATATTTTAAAAATTTGCGAACTGCAACAGAATTTGTAAGTAGTGCATAATTTTAGGAGTTCAAAGGTGCTGAACTAACGCAGAAAATATTGTGAAAATACTGTAAAACGTGGATATTTAAATTTCTCTTGTTGAGGTAGCTACTAAAATTAAAACATCATTAAACAGTCAATTAAATCATTTGTAATGGCAGGGTTTCATAAATGTTAATGCTTACCGAAAAATTTACCAAAACACACATACGTGTAATGTGATTACACAAAAAAAATGTGGACCATTATAAGCACTATGTCATTATAAGGCTCTGCAATTACCATTTAGCCTATAGTGCTCCTTTGTTTGGAGACTTGCACACAGATGCCGAGCACACGAAACAGGATTACACTGAAAACCATAATTCCATTAACACTGTGAACTTGGTAATTCTTCTTAAGCAGTATTTTTTTTAACTCTGTATAATAAATAACTAAATAAAAAATACATAACTTAATTAATTAAGTAATAACTAAATAAACAAAATTAATTTCCAATT